TCCCGAAGCTCGATGTCCTCGGGGGCGAACCCAACGGTGGGGTCGAGCTCGATTAAGGCATCCTCTCCATACTCGAGAGAACTGTAGTGCCGAGAGAATGGCATTCCAAGTCGAGCCGGGCGACGAAAACGACCAGCAAACGAGGAGCGGCCTCTGGTGGTACCACGAGACTGGGAGGTGGCGGCTGGCCGCGAAGAGGAGGGGACGACGGAGAAGCGACTGCGCATCCTCTGGTACTAACGCCGAGCCTCGTATGCCTGCTCCGCGGAAGAAAATGATCGCCTCTATAGCTCTAGGCGGTAGTCAGTCGGCAGGCTGACAAGGAACCGGTCGGTGAGTGTGACCTCTGGTAGGAACGTCTCGTCACAGACAAGGCGAGCGTCCTGAAACACCCGGATGTGACGCTCCAGGTCGGCCGGTACAGAGGACTCGGACCATCTGGCCTGGGTGACGCGGTCTAAGGCGTCGGTGGCGTCATGACAAGCGCCGAAGCGGTCCTGAAGGAAGGCCGCGAAGTCGGCCAAAGTGGGGACCTCACCCACGCGGAGACGCTGGGTAGAATGATCCTCCCATGCAGTAGAAGGGCTACCTCGCAATTTGGTTGCGAGCACATCACACCACAACTCCTGACGGGTGGTCGTCATAGAGAGTGTGCGCATTGCTATCTGCAACCAGCGAGAGACACGGGATGTGCCATCATACTCGGGAATGTCTGTGGTGCGCATAGGAGGATGTCCACTGTGCTGATGGCGGGGGGAAAGAGCTCAAGGCGAGAGCACTGCGGCGACGTAAGTCGCGGCCGCTGCAGGGGCAGAGGTGGGGGAAGGCTGTGGGTCATGGCCGCTAGCAGATGGACTTGCAGACGAGGAGGCAACAGCCGTGGGCAGCTATTCCGGAGTGGCTGGGTAAGAGGGAATAAAAATTATTTATTTACATATTTGAAAATTTCGGCAGCATTTTCTTACCCCAACGGGATCAAAATTTGCAAAGAGAAAGGAGAGACTAGAAGAAGCACACTAATTTTTACAACGCCGCAAATTAAAAATTTCAGAAAAATAAGTAAATAAATAAATAAATAGATAAATAAATAAGGAGGCGGAGGAGAGTGAGGAGAAAATAACTAAGTTTTGAATTTTTCAGTAATTTCGACAGCCTTTCGTTACCCCCATGGGGTCGAAGTGTGCCGTGAAGAAGAAAGACTAAGAAAAATAAGAACATTTTGCCAGCACTTCGCTACCCCCAAGGGGTCAAAATGTGTTGAAAAAGACTAAGTAAGAAGAAAACAGAAAATTTCGGCAGCATTTCGTTACCCCCACGGTGGCAAAATGTGTGCCGAAAGCAAGAATGACTAAGTCCTAATCAGATTTTAGGGTGCCGCAGAAAAATTCAAATTTTCAAAATAAATAAAGGAAAATAAAATAAATCAGAAAGATGAAAAAAGAAGTAGGGAATAAAATAATTCGAATTTTTGGGCAAAAAGAGAAGATTGAAATCAAAGAGAAAGAGAAAAGAAGAAAAACAGAAAAAATCGAAGGGGGGGGGGGGGGGGGGAGGGATGAAAAAGGGATGAAAAAAGAGAAAAATAGGTGGGAAAGAGAAAAGATTGAAGTGGTAGGTGAAGGGGATGATGGGGTTGTAGTTGGGGGAAGAAAGGAGGAGAGGAGGGTGAGTAAAAGAAAGTGAGTGGAGAGAAAGGAGAGAAAAAAATGGTGGGAGATGAGTGAAGAGGGAGGGGTATGAGAGATTAATGGGAAGGAGAGGAGAGAAGTGGGAAAAGAAGCACGGAGAGTGAGGTTGGGAGAGGAAAGACTAAAAATATGGTAGTGGATGGAGAAAGAGTGAAGGGGATGAGAGATTAGTGGGGAGAAGAGGAGAGAAATGAGAAAAGTGGAGAGGGGAGAAATGAGAAAAGGTGATGGATGAGTGGTGGTGAGAGAAAAAGAAGGTCAGATGATGAAGGGGAGACGGGGAAAAGGGAGTGGGAGAGTGGATTAGTGATAAGAGAGGTGATACCCAGCTCTTGGGTAACCAAGAGCATAAAAATTCACCAAGATCCACAAGATTTTGACGTTCACAACCCCCTTGGGAGAAGGGGTCTTCAAGGTGGTGATGAACTGCTGCTGCACATTATCAGAGGTTGGCTGAGATCTTGATCAGCCACCCAGTGCAGCCCCCTAGCCAGAGGGGTCTTCAAAAAAATCCGCAGCAAGCTGCCACGTGGCACTTTTGGAGATGGCCACGAGTCAGGAGAGGAGAGGTAGAGAGCAAACACTCTTTTGCCAATAAGTTTTCACCCGCTGGGTGAAATTTGGCAAAAGAGGTCTTGTTGGAAAGCTTTTTGAAAGCCGCTTCCAACGAAATAAGGCGCAGCATCAGCCATTGCCTCCAGTAATAGCGCTCGTTGAAAAAAAAAACGAGCGCGGGTGATTTTGGAAGCTTAAAACAAAAACGCGATCTTTGAAAGATCGTAGCTCCTCAACCACCGTACAACATTTAGCGATCTATAGGTTTTTGGAAGCGGCTCGTCGAGGGTTTTCCAAGAAGTTAAAGCTCAATAAATTTGGACGACCGGTGCAGAAATTACAATCACTTTGGTTCTAGAGTTCCCTCGCTGGGTGTTAGGTTCTACAGTTCCAACGATGCTAAGTATAGCCCCCTTAGCTTAGCCTCACAAAATATGTCCCTTAGACTGACTTCATTGTGGTCTGGCACTTTCTTTCAAAAAGCCTTTAGAATAATCAAAGGATCACATACCGACTGCCCACGGGACTACGTGGAGGGATAGTGCCTTCTTCAACATTCCACCAATTTCCTCAGTAAATCCACAAGGTCGTGCCTCCCTTACTTTGATCAGAGTAGGTAAGGTCGCACGTCTTTTAGGGACATCTTTCAAAGTGTCTTCCAGAGTTCCATCATAATTGCCAGAAGTTTCTATCCATAATTCTCACAAAAGTTTTGGCCTTTCCTCGTCAAACTTACATACATACAAAAACATCTCATCATTATAGCATCTCTTTCGAGTACTCTCACAAATTTCATCATTTTAAGAAAGTTCAATTGGCCATTGGGCTCCCCTCTCTCTTTTCTAAATCATACAGAAGACACAACTTTGGTTGTGACCTTTCCATTCACCATCATATAAATCCTTTGCAAAGTACATCATATCATCTCTCTCTCACAAATCTGAGGGGCACTCTCTCCCACTGTAATTTGGTTTTCACTTGTCATTGGGACAAGGATGCGCAAGTACAACGGAAGAATGTGCAGATCAGTTTACTTCACAATATTCATCTTCATCACACTAACATCCATATGGGCAGGTCAACAACTAAGAGTGAGTATGACACACCGCACAAAAAAAAAGATAGGTCTGAGACTCGCATATGCATACAGAATGTGGTCAAAGTATTGTACAAAGAGTCCAAATATCCAACAAGGCATCACAGTATCCAACAAGAATCAAGTATCCGATCAAGTGTCAAGGTATCCGAAATCGACCGTCACTCCAAACCTCATACCACTCACACATGAAGGAATCACAACTTACACAAAAGCATTACAAAAAAAACATTCCTCACCACACTAAAGGAAGCGAAAAGGAAAATAAAAATAGTCTGAATCATACTCAGTGTTATCTTATGTACAACTAACCTGAAAAGTCTATAATGCGAAGGTAAACATCTTACTACTGGCTCAACTTACTGACATACATGGGTCTGATCCAATCCTCCATGTATCCCTCTTTGTATAAACAATCATCAGTCAAAGAGTCGAAGATGTCTTGCGTATGCTAGACCTAGATTTTTCCGGACCTTATTAAAGAACCTCATTCCCGATCACTCATGACCTCCTGCAGCTGCCTATAAAATTGTGCCCTTACCCCATCACGAGTCTTAGGAACCAGGATTCCATTCCTATCTCTCCACACTCCAGACGACTCTCTGACGGCCAAACCATTTGCCTCATCTTTGAGACTCTTGCTGCTCTCTCAATTCTGTCCAACTCTTTTTCCTCGTCAGCCTGGTCCTCCTTGCCCTCCTGCATCCGTGGCTCATGGGGTGAGGTCGGTTCTATATCTGACATAGGGCAGTCCACAGCTATCTGAGTAGGTTGTGGAGGCATACCTGGACCACCTGACCCTCCTTCTCTTTCGTGTCTTTGGGATCTGTGCTCCTTTCTCCTTTCTTCCCTCTAAGTCCCTGATGACATGCCCTGCTCAAAGGTCCTTCTTTCAGCTGCCTCTGTCTCCCTCCTTCTCTTCTCCAGACTCCTTTTTTCACATGCCTGACGTGCTGGAGTATAGTAATCCCACAACAACTTCTTGCAGTGTCCCCAATTCATAGCAGGTGCCACGATAGATCTAACAAAGGATCTAATGTGCCGCCTTACGTACAGAAGGAAGCTCCCCATCCTCTGCTCCCCTGGAACATTGAGGTCATCCGCATATCGATCATAGGCCCATAGGAACCCCCCCAAATTAGTGGAGTCAAATCGAACGGGTTGTCTATCTCTCCCCACTGGCGACGGTGCAAGCCCTCCATCCTCCTTTCAAAATCCTGCCAGGTTAGTGACTCCCTGACAAAGTTGGCAATGGGGTCTATCCACTCGCCTACGCCTCGCACCTCCCTCAACATCCTGGTTCCATCTCATCCAAACTCATGCGCATGCCTCTCGAACTCAATCAGGAACAACTCAATGTTCCTTCCCTGGAAAAGTGGAGGTCTGTCCTCTCTCCTGGTCCTCGTTTGCGCCCTCTGTCTGGTCACCCCCAAAGGGTTTTCCACTGGTCCCGCCCCTCCCCTCCCTCTTGGCATGGCTGCCCCAAATGGTGTCAAACCTGCACAACAAGGAAGAAAGAAACATGAGCATACAAAGGGTAAGCAGGTTTGGTCAAAACACAACAAGAGACAGACATAGCCCTCCCCCAACTATCTACATATGTGTATATATATATGAGTCTACCCCAATGCTGTAACCCATCATACCATTCTGCTGAGAATAACATCCTATAAAATTTACTTATACTAATATCCCTATGTAAGTACTCAAAAGGGTGACTCTAACTGGTGAGATCCATGCTCACCTCGTCTCGAGCGACGAACTTCTTTAACCTCCAGCCTGACACCCAGTCTTTCCAAGCCGTCCTATTCAGCTCCTTAATTTGGTAGACTCCATGCTCACCACTCCTTGTGACCCTGTATGATCCCCGCCACCTCTTGTCCAACTTCCGCGACCACTGCTTCTCCAAGGATGAGTAGTTTAGGAACCCAATATCTCCCACCTTGAGAGGCTCTTTCCTTACCCTTGCCATCTTATCCCACCTGAACTTGTCCTTGGTACGACTGTCCGCCACCCTACTTGCCGCCTCTTCAATTCTGTCCTCCATGGCGCCAATCTGACGTGCCCTTAGATCAAGCAATTCCTCAAAGGTCAGATTCGTCTCGAGGTCCTGCCGCCTAGGAAATTTTCAATAGGGAACGTCGCATGCCTTGCATACCACAACGTAGTCGGTGCTCCTTCTGACAGTGATGTTATCCACGAAAAAAGTGACCCTTAGGAAGTCTGGCCACTGATTGGGCTTGCCACTAGTCCACTTGGCGAGAAGATTCGTGATGGTACTATGTCCTCTCTCCACAGGTGCATTAGCTTGAGGGTGCGTCCGCAGTAGTATACTCGGCGATCACCCCATACCTCTTTAAAAGTGCCTTTACTTCTGTACAGGTGAATTCGAACCCCCTATCCATCACAAATCTAGAGACAAAGGGGTAACGGAGATAGTACTCTTCGATGCATCGAGCCAACGTCTCACCAGTCTTTGTGCGAATGGCCTGGCCATCTACAAAACCGGAGAGATTATCCCACGCATCGAAGATAAAATTATAGCTTCTTATTCCCAGTGGCATGGCCAACAGATCCAGTTGTATGACTGCTCCAACCTCACGAACATACCTTGGGTGAAGTGGCTCCCTAGGTCTGAGAGAGGATCGCTCCTGGCATGGTACACAAGATTTACAGTAGTCGTTGATCATTTGTCCCATGTCATCCCAATAGTATAGTTCGTGTATCTTAAGGTATGTTGTGTCTGTGCTTCTATGACCCCCTGTCGTACCATCATGTAGGGCAGCTATGATGTCAATCTGACAAGTGACGCCACTGACTACTCTTCTGGGAGTTCTCCCTTTGCTTCTTATGAATAGATGGTCATCCCTTACTAGAAAGTCTGGCCTCATTTTCAGAACTCTCTCGCTAGCATCCCTTTCCCTCATCTCGCATGAAAGAAGCATCCCGAGCTCGAGATAAACTCCATCATACTCCTCTGCCCGGAAAGCTTCTTTAACCTCTCCTTCCTCAAAGTCGTCATCTTCTCCTTCGTTGGATCACATTATCACCCCCTTCCTGACTTTGTCCCGCAGTCCTAGCCAACTCATCCTGAAGCAGTGTGTTAGCTAAGAGATATACCCCGCATACCAATTTCTCGTGTTTTTCCACCTGCTGCGCCCCATTCTCAATCGTGAGCAGGTCCTCATGTAGTTGATACTTGTTTGCTAGGGCCAGATCCATCATCCATTCTACCCGTGGCATTCCCCAAGAGTTTTCTTCAATATAAGGTTTGAGGACTAGGTCTGGCCGTCGTACATGTCCTGGAGGTGCAACCCATACAGGTCGCCCAGGAGTAATATAGTTATCCACGGCCAGTGACCAGGACTTGATATGGAGTCTCACATCCTCCTCACTATCCAGAAACCCGTCGACTGGTGGAGTATCCTCGATTACTCCTTGGTTATTCTTATCCCAATCGAGTCGACTCAACCCATCTGCTCTATTCTTGTTCCCAAGAATTCGCTCTAACTCGAAATCAAACATCCAGATGTATGCTAGCCACCTGGCGATAGTTGGATCTGAAGGAGGGAAGTTCTTAAGAGAACCAGCTAGAGCAGTTGGGTCCACCGTCAATACAAACCGGCTGCCAAAGAGGTAATTTCTGAAAATCCTTGAGCAGTGAAGAACTGTCAAGGTTTCGCGCTTAAACTGAGAGTAATTTCTATTAGTTGTGTTAAGCGTTCGACTCTCAAACCTTAGCGGTCGTTCTTCTCCATTAAAGTCTCGTTAGATTAACACACCTCCCAGGGGTGTCGGTCCTGCGTCCGTCTTCACGATAAAGGGTCTGGTCATCACCGCCGTATGATCTGGTACCACTAGTACCAGACCTCCTTCCTCAAACTCTTTCTCCAGACCTTCTATCACTGACTCCTGCTTATCTTCCCACTCCCAATCTTGGCCCTGGCGCACAAGTTTTCGCAGTTGTTCAGTCTTCGCCGCAAACCCTTTTATGAAAATCCTCTAAAAGCCACACATTCCGAGGAATCTTCTTACCTTTGTGATCGTTTCGAATGACGTTGGCCACTCGAGAATCTTATTAGTCTTCTTAGTATCTGGCCGACGACCCCTCTCGTCGTACACAAACCCTAGGATAGTGGCCCCACGCATGCAGTGCCTCGACTTTGATCCACTGGCGGTGAGGTTATGCTCCTTTAGAAGGTCCAGGACCTTGCACAAGTCTTACACATGATCCAAGACAAAACGCCTAATCCCTGGCATCACCTCTTGCTCATCCTTCTCCTTGGACCCTTTCACGGCCAGATCATTAATATAAGGTTGCGTGATGTGAGGGTTTAAGGGTTGCATCGCCCACACCATGTGTCTCTGAACCATGGTTACCGCGTCCGTCCACCCTTGCGGCGTGACGTTCATATGGATCAACCCTCGAGGGGTATGCATAGTCGTCATTGGCCTGTCAGATGGGTATACAGGAAATTGATCGTAGCTCGAATATAGATCTATAAGATATATTATGACTCTCCCAGCGCAGGTTTCTGAAAGCACATTAGCATTAGGGAGACCACCTGTGTCTCTCACTGTTACAACATTCAAGCGTTGCAAGTCTTGTACCCATCGCAGAGTCTTATTGGGTTTGATAAAGCAAAACCAGGGAGATGCATATGGCCCACTCCAGTAATTTGAGACATGTGTACAGATCTTCCCATCGAGGTATGTAACTACATTCTCTTCATCAGCTAGATTAGGATATCGCGCACCTCGTAAGTTTCATGGCTCGTGAGGTACGGTGTGTATCCTAATCATTGGGATTCTGTCCACATCGAGGCGACCCCGTTCATCATCATTGAAAGCATATGCAGTATGCCTTCCTTTTATAACTTTCACTTCCAACTGTCTTTCCTGTGCTGTATGGAAGTCCGACTCTTCAATTATCAGTACCTCCTCTGTTTCTTGATTGATACGGCATGCCCCACTTTCTTCCTTCTCACGCATTTGTCGTATCAGTTCTCGCTCCCGCTCGTAATAAACCTCTTGTTCTTCGGTTACGAGTACGGGAACTGGGCGGCACTTCTGATCTACCCTTTCGTACCGCCTTTGTGACCCTTGCTTGAGCCTACCCCTAAAAAAGGTCGAGTTGCACTTTGGGGCTGGGCTCCAAATGTTCCACCCATCCTTCATGGTATCCGATAGACCAGTTCCATTTCACTTTCGCCCTTCCTCTCCATCACCCTTTCTCTGAGGGCCTCAACTGCCTCAGGATCCGCCATCCCATAGGTAGACACTATTTCCATATCGTCCCCTATGTTCGTCAAGCTGGGGGACAATGCCTCTGAAGGTTCTTCCCCTTCAGAGTCCTCGCCTTCCAATCTCATTCTCGCCTCTTCTAACTCTTCAATAGTAAAAGAGCCAGGATTGGGCCGGTTCCTTACACTGCGCGACCCTATATAAGAGCATGTAATTACTTCATAGTAGCCACACACATGATCGCATAACACCAGGAACATGGTCCCATCATGCTTGTTGAGAATGAGGGTTTCCGTCCTACTTAGAAACGACCGGCCCAATAGGATAGGATGGTCGAGATCCGGCATTATAAAAAAGCAAGTCCTCACTTTTACCTTGCTGATCTCAATGACCACGTTTGACGCGGTCCCTATAAACACAGACCTGCTATTCACTCCCATGAGGACTCCATTGTCGAAGCGATCAATTTCCATCCCCAGGCGAATGGCAGGTTCCTCTTTTATGAGGTTCATCTCTTCGCTTGTATCTACCATAGCGGTGCATGGTTTCCCTTTTACTACTACCTCCACACACCCGCATGCTACGGACTTCCATTCCATTTCGGTGCCAGTCTCTGCTCATTCACCTTCTTTGGGGATTATGGTCCCAGGCGCACGCTCACCACCAACCTTCTGGACAATCGAGCCTTTAGTTCGTCCCGTAGCTTTGGAGCAGAGGCGAGGATGTCCTTCGGGTTCAAAAGATCCTTGTGGCCCTCGAGGAGCCTGTCGACCATACTCTCCACGTCGAAACCTTCCTCCAACCGGACCGTATACTTCTTCTTCTTTCCCTTCTGGTCCTTGTCAGCGCCGGCCCTTCTGCCTCTCTTCTTTGTCCGTTCGTCGACTTTCTTATTTTCTTCTCGCCTAAACTTCTCATCCTCGTCCTCTTCATCTTCTGGAACTTCCATCGCCTCCTTCTCGCCACTAGGTTCCGGGTTATCCTGAGGAGGTTGGCTAGAATTAGGTGGCCCTTTCGACCTCGTGCGCGCCGCCAAAGCTGCTCTTCTAGCCCTTGATGATGGCCTCGAGGCCATCCCGGATCTAGGCGTGGAGGCTGTAACCGTTACTCCAGGCAGATTCCAGTCTCACTCGGTGCACCAGGACCTGAATCAAAAAGGTATACTGACGGCAATTCTCCTCTCCATCTGTTGACCTCCTTATACAGGGTGGTCAACTTGCTCTGATATCTCTTGATCTTCGCCAACAGGTCCTTCATTCTTTCCATTGTGTCTCTCGCCTCTATCTGGCCTCCTTCTTCGTCGTCAGACTCAATCACTATAGGTTCCTCTTTCATAATGCCGACTTTCATTCCTTACTCTACTTCTTCACTCTCTAAGTCTCTCCTACCTCTTCCACCCTCACTTCTTGGTGAACTTCTTTCTTCTGCCACATGCGGAATGCGGCCGGAGGAGCTGGTGGAGGCGGGCATTTGCTCTTCGCAAAGCCTCTTCTTGTCCCTCCTGGGGTCCTTGGGTCGATGTCCTTTCCATACATATCGTAGATATCCCCATCGTAATTGGTACTTATTAGCCCGTCTTTCTCATCGCTCCTCCGGACCTGACAAAACTTAATCGTGTGGCCCTTCTGGCCACAATGCCAACAGATGGCATTTTTCCAATCTATCCTACCTCTGCCATATCCTCGGCCACCTTGTTGTCTACCTTGATTCCCTCCATCATTCCAACCCTCATTCCCTCCTTCATTGGAGTTACCGCCCGCATTTCCTCTTCGATTTCGCCGCGACCACCATTCCCTCTGCCCCGTCCCCATCCTTGGCCTTGGCCTCGACCTCCGCCCTGATTGCCCTACGATCCTTGCAAAGCAGACTGTTGCAATTGACTCGGCGGCGGATTGGACTGACTCGCCTGCTGGGCTTGGGGCCTTGAGTATCCACACGAGACCAGGCTCATTGGTGGTCCACCATAAGAACCGAATTGCTCGCTAACAGGCCATGGCGTATAAGGGTTAAAACTTGGCCAAGGGTCCGGAGGTCCGAAGCTCGGCCATTGTCCATAAGATGGCTGCCCAGCCTGAACGGGCACCATCGCACCTATCTGTCCGTGTGACTCAGGCGGAGGCATCACAACTACTTGGGAGCATTGACCCTTCCCTGAACCTTGCCCCCCTTGGGCCTGGTTTCTGGCCTTTCTCCGAGCCTTTGTCAACTTTTGCGGCTCAGGCTCTTCTTCTTCTTCTTCTTCTTCCTCTTTCATCTCCTCCCTTGTGGCCACTTTCTTTCCTTTTCCCTGGATATGGGTCACTGTGAGCACCTTCTTCGGGGCTTTTGCCTCTTTAGTGGCCTCGAGTTGGGCTACCACCTCCTCTACCACTTTCTTCAAGTCCTGGCCGCCACTAGTTACAACGTTCATTGCCTTTCTCTTCTTTCTAGCCTGTTTCATTTGCAAGAGGTTCACCTGATCTAACTCCCCATCTGTTACATTTCTCCTTAATTGTGGCCCATGTCAGTTTCTTTCCTGGTGCGCCCTTCTTAGTCAACGCCGAGGCCTCTGAACTCATAAAATGCCCAAGGAACGTAGCACATTGCTCCTCCTCCGCCATCCCAGGGACTCTCTTTGCCATCTTTTTGAAGGCGGTGGCGAACGCACCCACCGTGGTAAACTCGTTCCGGCCTAGCATCTCTAAATCTGCTTTCGTTAATGGGTTGTCTCCCAACTTGAAGCGCCGCTGCATTTCCTCTTTAAACTTTGCCCACTCGCCATTTGCACCGACCGCCACTTTCATCACCTCTGGTCTGAGCTCCCACCAGACATATCTAGGCATCAGTTTGAACTTATCCGACTCTGATGCCTCACTAGTGACTTGCTCCAGCAGCTCGAGCCACTCGGACACTCTGTCCCCGTTAAAATGAAATATGTTAACTTTCGACACTTGAAGTCGTGCCAACTCTCTTTGTTCCAATGCCTTAATGATATCTTCTGGCGTGGCGCGAGGACCACGCACGATTCCATCGGCGTCAGCCATCTCTATCCTCTTTTCAGAGACCTGTTTAAGGAACGAAAATGTTTTAACACACAACCATCTGTCAATCTCATGACTTCCCCACTTTCATCATTCAATTAACTATACTTTCTCCTATTAACTAAGCACGTATATTCCTATACACTAGGTAATCATCCGGTCTTTATGTCCTAAATCTAGCTCTCATTAGTCAAAAGATCACAAGACACACTCTTTTGCCACCACAATCAAGCATACTAGTTACACATACCATCGAGGATACTATAACACGCGAACCACACACCACTACCCATCAAAAGGTTGTCGTTTTGCCTGGATCATCAGCTTGCATTTTTTAACTGGGTCCGTTCACTATGGACCCCGGTAGGCAGCCGAGATCCCCGGCAACAGCGCCACCTGTCGAGCGCATCGGTCTCGCACGGGGACCCACCCGGCCGCGTCACGCAGGATTTTGCAGGACTTGTCGCGGAGAGCGTTTGCCACTCCGGTCGAGTGCCCCAGCCGTACCTCTCGCGAGCCCCTACGACAGGACAGGGTCACCCGAGGCACCGCTTACCTCCACCTGCGGGAGTTGTCACCATCCCTTGGGTGGGCGTATCCCTGGCGAGCTACTGAACCACATGCGAAGGTTTTTCATATGCAATTGCAGAGGTGGCCCAGCCGAGGGCGTTTCTCATTCGCTGTAGCATAGGGGGTACGCGTGGTTAACGCCCAAATCGGACCCGCACGCGAATCGACGCACTGGGGGGCTAAGGTCCCAAACGCGACTCGACGCCGGTCGACTAGGACGCATCACACACACCACGCGTTACACCACAACACTCGCACACATGGAAGGACACAAAACAAATACCATAACAATACAACAACACAACAACACTCCTAGTCCCTTCATTATCCGACCCATAACCTTCTGAAGCGAGAGTCAGATAGACATCGCACGTAAGACTTTAGTATAAAATTGCGCAGGCGTAAGGCCTTCTCACATCAACTAGCCATGCGAGCATACGCAAGCAATCGCAACGATGGAGTACTACGTGGTACCCGTAGTCGAGTGATTCTCGATAGTCTCAAGGGCCATGTTCGACACTCAGGTGCCGGCTGATGAGCGCTTTGGAGGGTGAATCTCTCGACGTTAGACAACCGCCAAGTGTGGTTGAAGACCACACCCTCTTCTGCATCCTATGGAGAGGGGTTGAGTAGACAGCTTCAGGGCTGTCGTGGCGGCCCGAGATCAAGGGGTTTGATTTTGACGGTTGCCACGGACTACAACATCCAACTATGAAAACTCAAAAAGGAAGCGAACGAAGATAGAGAGAGAGGCTCACCCTCTTTTTATCCCTGCCTAGTCCATATTCCAACTTGTATAGCCTGATAGGTCTATCAAATGGAAAGGGAAGGAACGTACGAAAGGTGTGTGCGGATAATGCCCAAATCAGACCCATGTGCGAGCCGACGTTCGAATGCAGATTCTCATAGGCCGACTAGGACTAGTACTCCGTCCGCACGACGCTTCGCATCATCGAAACTCGGGTCTAATCACCATAGCGTGCTTTTTCCTTTTCTGCTTGACCCGTAACTGCTCCTGCGCAAGCCCTAAGCGGAGTCCACGCGCCGGATCGTATAAGACAGTCGTGCGCGCGCAGGGCCTACACGTATCGGCTAGAAATGCAGTCCCGCGTAAGTGATAGTGATGACGGCGCAATACGTAGTGGCCGTAATCGAGTGGCCTTTTCTGAGCCAAGGGGTCGTTCTCGATGCTCAGGCGTCGACTCAAGCGCGCGCTAAAGGGGGTAACCCTTTAGCGAGCGCAAAACCGGCCTGAGGGCCTTACCGTCTTCTGCACCCTGAGGTGTCCCAAAGGGTGCAGGGTAAGATGGTCCCTAGGGCAGAAGGAATTCGGAGTGGTGGTGAGTTGTCTGGCGCATCACCAGCGACACGTAAACCTTTCGTCCGAAACTTTATCGTTCCACCAAAATAACTTAAAACAAAGAAAAAGAAAAAGAACATTTAACGTTAGCTGAAGAAAACATGAATACCCCGTCGAACCATGTTGCTGGGGGATAGCCCCATCAGTCTCGCGGCGTTTCTGTCTCCCAAGTACAGCGTCGTGCGGGCAAGTAAATCAGCGTTCGCGTGAGGGGTGATCTGTTCCGCGCTGAGCTTACGATCCGGGATGTCGTGGACAAGGACCTCGAATTCCAGGCTCAGGACTAGCGTCCGACTCATTAAACCATCGAGGAAGAGGACGACGTAGACATATGGTCGCATAGCCCTATGGGGGTTATCCGAACTTATGCCTACTTTAACTCTTACAATATTAGGACTGAGAAAAAGGTACTCACAATCAAACAACAAGTTGTGTGGTAGGTCACTCTCACGACAGTTATATGGTTTGCCCATCCGGATCCAAAAGCATATCCATTCACCAAAACTCAATCGAGATCTCTCCACACATACCTGCGATCATACACACAGCAGTCAAACGACATCGCACACACTAAAGGGGTCAACTTTTCAGCCTTCTGCAGCTCACACCCTGCCTTATGCACACAAGCCCAACCTTTTCCCCACCATTCCTCAACAAAAAATACTCAGTCTTTAAGAAATTACCATTTGTAAGGAATCTGGGTGAAAGCCAAAAAAAAAACATAAAACCCAGCAAGGGCCAAAGCCTTAGGTTGAGAAGCAGAAGAACAGGAAAGTTAAGTCGTGAACCGACGAAACGGCAACCGACCTGCTATCAGTGATAACAGAACAGTGGTCCTTTAAAGGATCCGACTGAACGAATCGAGCCTTCAAGCGAAATACATAAACCTGCATCACAGTACAGGCCGAAGAGAAATACTACTTTGTTCACGCCAAGAGGGGAATAATCCCTAGTTCGTAACCTAACTCCTCTACTCTGTGTGTCCGAAATTGGATTTAACGCGGGTTTCACGTTAAAAAATTCAACGCGCGTTGAATTCGCGTTCAATCCCCGTTTGAACGCGCGTTGGACGGGGAAAAATGGGTTCCGCAATGATTTTTTTCCTAGGCCAAACATAATCGGAAAAAATATATATATATATATGGGGTCGTAGAATTTTTTGAGGTCTACGACCCAATATTTTTATTTTTATTTTTTGAGCTTTTAATATATTTTTAAAAAATCAAAAACATAAGCACAATGAAAAAACAAAAGCAAGAAATGACATGGGTCTTTTTTTTTTTTGGTTTCACAGAGATTTTTTAAGGGCTAAAAAAAAAACAGAAAAAAAAAATAAAAAATATAGGGTTGTAAATCTTTCAAAGAGGTACAACAAAATATTTTCTTTTGTTTTTTTTTATAACCTCGTGTATTTTCAAAAAAAATCAAAACCATAAACAACATATTTTTTGGCCTGCATGGCTTAGGTAATCTTGCTGGGTAGACTCCCTGATTTGGCCTGCTTCGTTCACTGTTGTTGTAACCACCACCATCAGATCATTTGTGATCTGATGGCTGGGAAGCACTCTGCCGTAATTTCCAGTGGGAGGTCTTTGTTTTTTTTGGTTTTTTTTTGCCTTTCTTCTGTTTTCTCAGCCCATGAACTCGTAATGAACCTGTCAGGCCGCTGCCACTCAGCTTTACACTAGATAGACCACACTTCAATCCGTCTGCTAATGGGACCATGCCCCTGGGGTGTGGTCCCATTAGCAGTCCGATAGAAGCGTGGCCGATCCAGTGTGACACTGAGTGGCAGCGGCCAGACAGGTTTATTACGAATTTCTGGGCTGAGAAAGCAGGAGAAAGGCCACAAAAAAAAAAAAAAACAGAGACCTCCCACCGGAAGTCACCGCAGAATGCTTCCCAACCGGATTTGGGTCACTCAACTACCACACAAACTCTTTTTTTCTTTTGTTTTTTGCCTCAGCTGGTGCTTGAGGTGCTGATAAGAGCAGACACCGGAGCAGGCGTGCTTACCCTTCCTTTCCCCAACCCCCACCCTTATCCTATCCGGTTGCTAGTGGGACCATGTTTCTGGTGCTTGTCACTGCTGTCTGGTCGAAATTGCCCTCGATACTGGTAGGGTGATGGTCCTGAGTGCTGGTCACACTGAGGTAGGATAGTAGGGACAGGGGATGTGCTGGGAGTATTAACGTGGGGATGGGTAGGGTAGGTGGCCTATCCCTGTTGCAACCAGCAATCACCACGAGTCTGGTCCTTGGCCTCTAGAACACCTTAGGCTTTCAAAAAAAAAACAAAAAACAAAGAATGGATCTTCTGCTAGAACGTGGAATAATACACCGCCATAAGATTGTCTTTTGTGCATCTGGTGAGTAGAAGCCCTTAGGGCCACTGCACGTATTCCTAAAAAAAAAAAAACGAGAAAAAACAGAAGAAAAATGAGGAAAA